AAGTGAGGAGAAATGGAAGCCGTTTTATTTCAATCTAACAGATACAGTAATTCACCGACTAAAGAGTTTGTTAAGGGAATCGTTAAAATACGTCCCGTTTATTGGAAGTTAAAATAGGTGGGATTTTCGGCCATAATAAACAATATACAGCCAGGGAGTACATCAACGGGCATAGCTGGTGTGTCATTCTTGTCTTATTTAATTGTATAATATTGTTCAATGATATATTTGCTGTTTAGCTCTAGATATAGAGATCTACAGGATTACTGATCTATTTGCTGTTTAGCTCTAGATAACCAAAACGTTTTAATGAACGTCTGCCTATAGTTGGAACTCATATTGAAATAAATGATTATATTGACGCAGGAATTCTCCACATCAAGGAGATACGCAAACCAACTATACACGGTGACCGACTGATGATGTTTACCAGTCTCGTAATACAGAGCAAAAGAGGTCCACACAAAGAAGACCACAGAGGGGGACAGAGAAATGATTAAAACCAACGCGATAACAACCACCATCTTGATGACCGCTCTGTCTCTCTTGGCCAAAAAGTCGGATCGGTCAGCAGCGGTGGACTCCTTCCTCCAAAGCGACATCCTTTGGAGTTTCCATATAAGCACAGTTGTAAAGAGAACCAACAATGGGAACGTTGTGAACATGATGACGGCGAAAGTGACGTGCACTGGCCCTCGGATGTAGATCCTGTCATACCGAAACATAACTCCTAGCATCGTCTGGTTTAAGTTGGGGTAGTACTTCCAGTCTACGTACATGTCCAGCCAGAACGGAACAGCAACGGACACGTTCAACACGTAGATAGCCACCATTACAGCCCCAGCCCTGGCCGGCGTGACCAATCGTTTGACCGTTAAAGGCACGAATATACAAAGACATCTTTCTGCGGTCAAGAACACATAAATCCATGACCTGACCCGAGCTAAGGCGGGGTGCGGTGTGGCCGCCAGATTGGCGAGTTCAGTGCAATCAACCGGGTAGGGGAAAGAACGGACGATGAAAGGATTGTAAAACAGCAGCCCCACTTGCACAATCACGAGGTTAAACAAGTCTGCAAAAGAGAGAGCGAACAGGGCGATGTTTGTGGCAAACTTGAAACCCTGTTGGTAGAATATCATAAGGTTGATCACGTTGATACAGATTCCAAAGACGCTCAAAGTCTCGATAGAGCCAATTAGAACTTCTGAGATGACATTTGCCGCAGATTCAGATAAAGTGTCTTGATAATCTTCAACTTCTGAACCTGATTGTGTCATTGTCTTATTTGTTTTAAGACTTGTCATTTCGTTACTGACTCATAAGGATACTTGCTTATAGGGTCTACTATCAGTTCTTTAGAAATATTGTTTTGAGAACGTCTTTTGTTTTATATTTATGCAATACCGTCAGCTAAGCCGCTAAGTAATTTGATTTAGCGCTCTTTAAAGAAATATAAAAAAAAACAGTATATTTCTTTTAAAATTTAGGGTGTATACTTCTATAAATAGCAACCTTACAGTTATACATCAACAGAACATTGTTAAAGATGTGTTATAGAGTTATTCACCTTTGACCAATATAACTGTATCAAAGAGCAGTATTTATATACACGTAACAAGTAGTTTCTACTAATTATACACGATGATTTTCCAGCCTGAAGTTGACTTTACTTTAATATTCAACTGTATATTTATCCATTGTCTTTCAAGACAGAAAAAGCCATACATATTTATTAATCGATGTATGTAACCAGCCTAATTAATGCCCTTGTAAAGAAAACATATACAGACAGGTTTTAATTTTCTGTGACACTGCATCGTGTGTCATGTCTTACTGAAGGCCAAGGTGAGGCTCTGGAAACAAATAATTCTTATATATGGCCTTAACTTTAAATACTAATTAGAAGGGTATTTTTCCTAAACAGAACCCATCCACAGAGCTAATGTTTCTTGAGTTGAAATCCGTTTGTAGTGTCGTTTTAATATCTCATAATATATATAATTATCATTTATGTTGAACGATCGCAATACTTTGTTATCTCCTTAAGGATAAACGAAAACAAATGTAAGTCCAACTTTTTTGTTTTAGCTTTGAGCGTGTTCACTTTTCAAAATGTATACAATTTAGGGAGGCTACAGTAGCAAAATACAAACAAAAAATTTACTTAAAAAAAAAAAAAACTTATATTAATGTATATCAATTAGTTCGGATCAGTCATGTAATTAAATTTGTAATAGATCTAGACTAACAATAAAAAATTTCTGCGATTAGAAATATTTTTTTACCAATTGTTATTGTTTAGCGCAATTTCATGCCTTTAGCGTTCTTAATAAGCTATGATCCTAGCACTAGTCTGGTCACGTTGGAAAGGGGGATAAGTGTATATTTACAAAAATTTAAAAAAACACAAGGGAACGACCTGAATAGGAACTTGTGGGCTAAAGCCTTCTCAGGCATCCCAAGCTGTAACCACTCTACTAGCGAAAAGTCTATGAAGATTGGAAGATTGTATAGTTATCTATTGTTTCTATTTTATGCTTGTGTTCACTAAGCCTAATATAAAGGCGACTATTTCAGATTATACCATCACTTCAGTCAAGTACTATTTCTTTCCCTTGTATGAGATACCAAGCAAAGTAATTTATTACCAATAGGGTATTTTTTTAAATCGATTTTTGACTTGTCAGGTAAAAAAAATAATTAAACAAAATTTCATCTTGATCTGAGATTGGGTATCGAAGAAATAACGTGTACAAACTTTTGGCCTGACAGACAGACAGACAGAGTGAGTTGATAAAAGATTTGTAAAACAATTGCCATGACCTCTATTGTTGGAATATATACGCCCCAAAGTTTGTAAAATTTTAAATGTTTTCCCATCTATTAACTACTGACACATACACTCATCTATTTACTCCTGACACATACACGTAGACTCATCTATTCACTCCTGACACATACACGTAGACTCGTCTATTTACTCCTGGCACATACACGTAGACTCATCTAGAGGAGGAATAAACAAGATACTACACTGAAACTAATTTTAAAAAATATTTTAGAAAGAGGTAAATGAAAAAGAAATGTGTAATCTAAATAAAATAAGAATGGAAAGTTCTGTAATATAGTATAACTACGCAGACAGAACAATGTTTCGAAAGTCTTCCTCATAAAGTTTTTGGTTGTTTATATATTTCATTTCATTTGTTTCTTTTACTCTGTTGCAATTGTCCGTTTTTATGCAAATTCATGAAAACTTAACATTTCCTTATCAATGTTTATTTTCAAAATAAGTTTTTGTATTCGTTGATGTGTTTCTAGGTGTGAATGAAGCAGCCAAGTAAAGAAATAGATAAATGATGAATTAGCCAAGTAAAGGAATAGATAAATGATGAATTAGCCAAGTAAAGGAATAGATAAATGATGAATTAGCCAAGTAAAGGAATAGATAAATGATGAATCAGCCAAGTATAGGAACAGAGATAAATTATGACTCATTCAAACAAAGGAATAGAGATGAACAACAAATCAGCCAAGTAAATGAACAGAGAGATAAAAGATGAATCACCCAAGTAATGGAATAGGAATAGATAAATAATGAGGCAGCCAAGTGAAGGAATAGAGATACATGATGAATCATCTAAGCATAGGAATATGATGATGAGATAAATGATGAATCAGCCAAACAAAGAAATAAAGATAAACAATGAATCAGCCAAGTAAAGGAATGGAGAGATAAATGATGTGTCAGTTTATCACTCATGGGCTCCACACTGACTTAGATGATATTTTCTATTCAATTCTACAGGCAGTAAACCTTTTGATTGATTTATTTATATTTAAAACTCATTCACTTATTTAGAAATTCTGAGCCAAACACGTTTTTTTTCAATTAATTTTTTTATTTACAAAAATAAACAACAATTTCACATTGGTTTAAATAGTTGTCATTAATTAAGTCTACTTCATAAAACTTGTCAATATTTTGACAATTAAATAAAATTGACATTTGAGCAAGAAATCATCTCAATCATTACTGTCACAAGCCAAAGAACAATCACTAATTGAACAATCTTGTAGGGCAATGATAAAGCTCTTTCTTCTTGGGTCAACACAGAATAAGGACCATAACATGTAATTAATTCCTCCCGCCCCCTTCCCCCAGGCCTTGCTACATAGAACTAGGTAGGATGAAAGGTCATAACAAATCCCCCAAAACAAAGTCCTGACACGATGAACATTAAGTTTTGACTCTAAAAAAAAGCTCTAATATTACATCAAGCAAAAGATCACAACTGATCTCATGTACTTTGAACATTTAACAGTGTCTTAAAGCTAGGTAAAGTCCTTATTTAAATGCACTACCAACTATTTACCATGCCCATTTAGTTTGGATAAGTAGATTGTTTTGTTTTGATATTTTAACTTTGATTATCAGGACATAAGAACAATTCATCTCTCAGCTTTCTGCTCTCTTAAACACAACAGTCCATAAAATGATATTTCTAAATCTTATAATTAATATAATACAAGCATGTTAATATAACAAATTTGAACAATACAAAAAAATACAAAATATGGTATTTAACATTGGACCTCAAGGAATAATTCTTTATCTAAAGTTTATGCATGACTTGTAAAAATCTATCTATCTGTACTGTATATATACATACAGAGGCAGAGTAATGAAAATGTGGAACCGGAGCAATGTACATTATCTGCCCCCCTCCCCCATTTTCCATGAACATTACATAGAAATATAGGTTGCGTGTGGCGCCCCCTAAGGGTGGCTCTCCCAGAGCATTGTGCCCCCTCCCCAATACGCTGCTGTATACATATATAAGTTTTACACGTTTCTAAATATAAAAAGTCGTTATTAATAAGCCACCAAAGTAACCTACACATTTGTACAGTTTTCCAAACAAGATTCACTAATGTAATACCTATGAATGACTAAATCTATAAATGAATGACTAAATCTATAAATGAATGACTAAATCTATAAATGAATGACTAAATCTATATATAAATGACTAGAATAACATATTACTGACTAAATACTTTCAAAAAAAGCTCTGTAGATTAAAAAACTAGATATTCAAATAACTAAAAGGAATTTTCAAGGTGCAATTCTTGTATTGCAAATCTTTTAGGCTGTAGTTTATGAAATCATTTTCTCCCCCAAAAAAAGCTTGAACAATAAATATTTCAATATTTTATTGCAGCGTGAAATTCATGAAAACAAGTTCACAACCTTTAATGCAGCCAACTAAGTGATTTCTAAAGTTTGAAACTTAATAAACAATGAACAGTCTGGAATAGAGTTTTTAGCATAGAATAAATTTTGATTATGTTGGGTTTTCATTTGAACTAGATAAAAAAAAATTCTGCAATCAAGTCTCGGGCATCCTAATGGATCTAGAATTATTATTATTATTTTATTTTTTTTTAGAATTTGATTTTTATTCATAAACAACAACAGAAACAAAAGTATTCAAATTTTTCATAATACTGTGTATACAAAAATGCTTTGATCACTCGAGTTTATTGCCTAATTGGCTTGCATTTTTAATAACAATTTATTACAATATGACCTTAAATATAAAAAAATCTGGAAATCACATTTTTTTTAAATAAGTGAAACATTATCAACAAACAATCAATGAACATAGTTATCAATGTATGTCAGACATTATCAATGAACATAGTTATCAATGTATGTCAAACATTATCAATGAACATAGTTATCAATGTATGTTAGACATTATCAATGAACATAGTTATCAATGTATCCCAGACTTATCAATGAGTAATTTGATAAGGTTAACATTTTGACTGCACAAGAACACAATCTGGCATTTCTAAATAAAGGTTAAGCTTTTCATGGATCATTCTAAATCTAAAAGACAAATACAGCAACTAGAAACAAATCTGTCTTCTCCATTTCACAACATTGTGTTTGGACACATGAAAATAAGAAACATTCATTCAATATTTATACATACAAAAATTTTTGTTTGCATTTGCTTCAAATGATACAGAAACTTTTCAAAAGATACATTAAAAATTTTTTTTCAATAAAACAAAAATGAAATAATCTAAGTGACCTTAGAGAAAAAAAATTAAAAAATGACAACCATATATAAACAAATATTTTGTTTTAAATTTAATCTTTCCTAATCACTATCATGTACAACATTTCACTATAAATGAATATAAAATGTATTAGTGTATTTTGATCATGGGATAAATATATAAATGTTCACTTTCTTGTTTTGAAAATATCACTTGGTAATCCAGCATGTAGAAGACGAGGAAATAAAGGTATATGATGTAAGGCGAGATAATAAATAGTGGGAGTTATAGCTAAAGGAAATATTTAGATTTAAAAGATGTAATGAAATGTTTGAAGTGAGATATTCAAATGTTTAATAAATAAAAGGTTTCTAGAAAAAGATTTTGTCATGAAAATTGTTCCCAGAATTGTTTTAACAGTATAGACACACACACACACACACATCAATCACTCCGCTTTGGCTTTTTATTCTGAGAGTTAGATCCTCTCATACCAAATTTAATGAAGAAGATATATATATATATATATATATATATATATATATATATATATATACTGCTATAATGTAATAATATAGAATAGTTGAATTATGAAACATATGTTTGTATAGATTACTATAAATGAAGTAGTATGTTTTCTCTCTCCTGAAAAGAGAAGTGACTTAGCTGAAAACAATTGTTAAAACATATTAATTTGCTTCCAGGAGAAGTGCCAACTCATGCCTTTTAATGAACATTTTCTTTTTTTCCTTGTACAAGCAAATATTAGACTGACTCCAGACTCTTCCTCTTTGTCCCCTCTCCCTCTGAAAGTAAGCAGACCAATCAAACATGCATGTTTTCATTCAGCATGAGTTCAAAATGTCTTTAGTCTTAAATGATATTATACACAATAAATATTTCAATTCAGTGGAAGGCTAATACCTTTTTTAAACAATAAAAAGTGTAAATAAATATTAATCATACAAAACAAAAAGGAAATTAATTATGAACACTCTATTTACAAACAGTTACTTTCTATTTTGATCATATTTCAAAAGTCAATTCTATAAATTAAATTCTGGACAAAGTGTCATTGTGATTTTAAGTTAAATAATATCAAAGTTATAAAAATACTACAAAGATTTCTCTTATTTTTATAGCAAGTGTTACATGCATACATTAAATAATTTAATCGCCTTTATTCATGCAAACTTTCTAGTAAAAATCAGGACAAATGAAGTTATATAAGTAAATAAATATATATAGAAAGATTTTTTGTATACAAATATCAAAAAATAATTTTAAAAAAATTCTTTGTTTTTGTTCTCAATATCATAAGTAATACTAACAAATTACTATGAATCAATTATTAATTATCATTAATACTGCCTTAAGATAAAGACCAAATGAAGCAGATTTTGAAATAGTGTCTACATTGAGCAATAGATAACTTCAGTATCGAGTGAATCTTTTTATTTGTTGTCAGTCACACTCTTGGACCTTGGAGATGTTTAGAGCAGCAACAATGTTCTCCCACTCCTATCTGTGTACATATCTACTAATATGATCCACTATATTTCATCTACTATTCAGACAACATTGCTCTCAATTCAAATTCTAAATTCTCATTGGTTCTCCAAGAGAGAGGTTTACTTCCCAAGAGTCACAGATATAAAAATATAGGTTCATTACAGGTTCCTATATAGTTTTATTTATACTTGTGTTGTTTTTTTACGACAAGGGGATATGATGCTACTTTCAATTTATAAAATGGGGTTCTGTCTCAAAGATTGGAAAACACTGTCCCAAAATATTACATGGCTAAATATAATCACAAAATTGTTACATCCAGTTTTATGCAACCTCTAGTTGCTGTTGTCTTTGTATAATATCATTTTTTGTTCAACTTGTATAAATGATTCAAAAATATCTGATTAAAATGACTAAATCAAAGCCTTATCCGTACAGTCAGTCAGAATATTTTATGGTTACAAAAATTCAATTTCTCATTGATTAGTCCAATATAACAACATAATGCTGCCTTGAAGAAGATAACAAAAAAGGTTTTCAAAAGTCCATTGTGTTCATGATCACAGGAATAAATTTTTCTGAATGTTCCCTCAAAGCTTTTACATCTTTATCCCACAAAGTGACAGTTCCATCACTACATGATGCCAACAGATACTGCGAGTCAGCTGAGAAGGTCAGGCTGGAAAAAAAAACAACAGAATTTCAGGTTTTATGTATTGATCTTTTCTTTTGATGGCCAATCAGCACACACAAGTTGACAATCTCTTGACATGTAATGGGGAGTTAATGATATAATGTCCATGCTGAGACCAAAGTGCATAAAGAAGTGGGTTAAATAAAGAAAATTAGTCAAGAACTTCAAAGTGGGATAAAAATTCCATTCTCCACCAGGATCAAATTTGAGTCCCACATATTATCCTCTAAAAGTAAATCTATTCTACTTTACTCTCTATTTGAAGAGTTAGTTAACTTTAAAAAAAATAATAATCTAGACTAACAACAAAAAAGACATTTAAAGAAAGGAAAAATGTTTTGTTTTTTTTGCTTAACAACAAATTAGTTTGCTGAAAATTTCTGTGATGATAAAAGGCCTGATCTCTTAGACATTTGTTATTATTAAGTAGATTTATGTCTGTGGATGTGGCAAAATATGTAGGTCACAGCTGGGGCTGCACAGCCATGGGAAATACTGCATTCCTCACTGTTAAGTATGTATTGAAGAATCAAGGCAACTATGTCGCTGTTGGGCCAAACACTTTTATTTATTCATCGCTGCTCGCCATCTTGGGCAGAACTACTTGTTCACAACAAGAGAAGCATAACTCACAATGACTAAAGGCTATATCTCACATACATCAAGTATTAACACTCACTAATCTTCGGACTCGAAGACAAGCCTTATATATATATATATATATATATATATATATATATATATATATATATAATTATTTGTCTTTTTTTAAAGCCTTTTCCATTTTTGGAAGGCAGCAGAGATTTGAATTCAGTTTTCCTTTTCCGAGGTGAGTAGCCAGACAAGGCTAATGAGCCTCTTGTCTGAAGATTACTGGTTTATTACCAGTTACTTGCCTTTGCTCCTTCTCTTGTTAAGGAGCCTGCGACCCTAAGGCAGCTTACAGCACACAGTTCTATACCCTGGCAAAGCCTGCAATGCTGCTGATCCCTAACTGTATTGGCACTTACTATTCCTATGAACAGATCAGCCACATAGAGAGGGGGAACTGCTGCTTGAGCAACATTATTCTAACTGTAGCTAATGCCCAGGCATTCATCTCACTTCCATAAGATGATTCATAGTTGTTTTGCGACTGCAAGAGCCCATATATATGTCATTACAGTATACAAAAGGTGTGCTCTTCTGCCCTAATGCTTTGTTATAAGTGTCATACCTGGACCATAAACAGATCACTAAAAAAGATAATTGATCATGTAATTGAAATGTCTGGTGAATGACCCTCTCTCAGAAAAACTTTAAAATGTAATGTTAAACAATCTCAAACACAATCTTTAACTAAGAACTGTTACAGTGAGTTATGTCTTGTGTTTGGTTATGATGTTCCTTATTTTACTGTACTATAAGATTTATATCTTACACGAGATTATGAGGTCTCCTATTGTTTATTAATTAAATACAGTCATGAGTTTAAAAACCTATTTGTTATATAATGTTATTTTACAAGTTATTTTATTTAACATCCCCCCCCTCTCTCAAGTGTGTCTGTTTTAAGTTTTTAACTTGTAAGAATAACTCTATGAAGAATGTTGTGATGAGCACCTACCATACAATAGGGTGGAGGGTTGGGCTGTCTTTAGTGAGGTCTTTTAAATGTGCCAGGTTCCAACTGCTCCATAACCTGAAAATGACAAAAATATCATTAACAAGTATTTTATAATTACTTAAAATATATTTATGGCCTTAATCTATATTTCTATAAAAAGTAGAAAATAGTGAGTTATTTCTTTAAAAAGTAGAAAATAGTGAGTTATAATCTGTGCTTGACAAAGCTACTGGTGTTTTCTAGGAATAGAGCCCTGATGAATTTAATTTCTTTAAATATCACTTCTACTAACATTCACATGTTATATTTTTATCAAATGCAACATTTATAGCCAATTTTAATCTAAAAAAGCATACAAAAAATATTTGTTAAGCATGTCTGAGCTTCATAGATTGGAGCCAATAGAAAACTTTTTGATAAAATTTACCACTCACTCACAGTAATACTAATAGTAAAGACTAAAAATAGAAGCAAGCATTCAATGTTAAAGTGTAATTTCAACTGAAGTTGAAAAGAAGTGATTTCATTGATCTAGCTTAGCATTTCAAACAAATTGTTTAGAGAAGTAATTGAACAATAAACATACATACAACACAATGATATGGATCCAAAGCATTACTGGTAAATATTCAATGCATAATTTGCAAAGAGAAATTCCAAAGGACAAAGAAAAGCTTTGACTCAACTTGTTTGCAGCTTGAAATGAAACAAATTATAACAAGCAACCTAAACAAGTTTATCTTACCTAATGGTTCCAGACTCCAGGCCTCCAGCTATCAGATTAACAGATCTTCCT